ATCAGACCATAAATTTTTACCATCTGGTACGATATTTCAAAAATGGTAGTTGTTTCTTCGTTTATGAGTGGTAGAATTATCAAATTCAAATGTTGTCTATTTATGTACCACCCTGTACAATGCATAAGAAAAAATTTTGAAAGCCACTGGAAAAGAGAAAATATTTTACAGAACTTAAAAAAGTTATAAACTTTTGACAAAAAAGATCGTAGAAAACAAGAAATGGTCTTAGCTTAGACTTTTCTCTACGCTATGCTTTATTCAACTTAAAAATCGAAAAGTTTTTGAAAAAGAGAGAAGAATAGCCTGAATAAAATATCATAAATTTCAATGTTTCAGGCTTATTTCTATCTTTTCATCTCGTTTTTTCTATTCATTTAAGACATAAGTCAAAAATTTTCAATAACCTCTTAAATAAATTAATAATTTATTTATTTTCCTCTGCTCTCGATCATCGATCAATAGCTGCTACTTTTATTCTTTATATACTAAAAATAGAACACAATTTAATTCTCTCATGTAGCAATAATAAGTCTTTGTTTAAAAGAATTTTTATGAAACTCTTTTGAAATCTAGTCAATAAATATTGTTAATTTCATCTTATCTGATACATAGAGTGTTTATTTCGATCTATTGATATTATAAATTAATTATAGATTGTGTAGTGTTGTTCTTAACAATTTTCCTATGTATTGAATAATTGACAATAGCTAAATCACTTCCAAACTTTTCTTGAAATAAAATTTCTTGCAGAGAACTACTGCATTTCCATCTTGTTTTATCAATAAACACAATGAAAATATATTGAATTTACCTACAATAGTTTATTACTTCAATTATGATGTATAAGAATTATAAGCTTGATAATTAACTCTTTAATATAATCAGTAACTAACTGAAATAGTTCTATTTTCCGAGATTGAGATAAAACTCTAAATAATTTTCTTTCTTCGATACTGTGGCAATATATTTTGACATTTCTGTCAGTATACACAAATATTTGGCATTATTTTACAACAGATGTGTGCAGTTGGTATTTAGCAGAACGAACAACATCAATTTCTGTATCTTTATGCATCATATCAATTGACATTAAAAAAACGTTTTCATCTACTTAATATCAATACAAAATTAGATTATGATTCAGACATACACAAACCTGCAAAAAATGTTGATTTAGAATATTGGATGTTATAAAAGTAATTCTAAATCATAAATGTTCACAATCTTGCAGTAGATTAAACAGTATTCGCAATAAATTCAGCATCGAGCGAAATAATTAATTATATTATCAAACTATTTTTAGTAAATGTTTGATGTGTATGTCTTACCATTTTGTTGAGTTTTCATACCAATATCAGTGATGTAGACAATGAAAAATCTAGTATTGATAGTAGTTTTCAAGGTTTGTAATATTAAACAAGATTTTCACATATTTACTTGTATCAAATGAAAGAAATAATAAATAAGTTAATATTTCATCGTTCTGACAGATTTATGTTCGTTCGGATTATCGATCTTACGAGTGGAATGTTGATATAGAGTACTTAATAAATAACAGTTTTAATAGTATCTCAGTAATATGGGATTCTGAAAATATGGAGATGTAAATATATCTTCATTAAGCAAATAAAAGACGAACTGCGAATAACCATTTGTTCATATACTGGTTGCCTTTTCATAATTCTGATAGGCTTTGTACACAGCGAGGGTGTGTTCTCAAAAACTCGAACGTATAACAGAACAGACTCTTAAAAATGTCATCATTTCCAGAAAAAAAAGATCAGAAGAAAGAAAGGTTAATTTCATTCGCATTTTGATCAATTTTCAAATAAATAGTCATTTTGGTATAATCCTCTATCTTGCTGCTTTCAATTTTGATATCTTTTATGAGCACAATATTCATCTGATAAAAGGAGAAGTCGTATCTGAAAACAGAAATGCACACACTGCCTCTTGCATCCGTAGTGAAGTAACGAATCAAGCCTGACCGTTAGGTTCATGTGGTATTTTTTTCTTTTCTCTTTCTTGCTGACAAACGGAAAATGTTGGAAAGACTAGCAGAAATACTCAAGGGTATAGCCTTAAGCATTTTAGTCTCATTACTAAGCATTTCTAGCGTAATAACTAATTTTCAATATCAATCTTTATCCATCGCTATCGATCAACGAGTTTGATTGACCAATTTGCTTTATTAATTTTTAGAATTATTTTTATGCATAGTTTCATCTACAGCGAACTGTTGGTGTGAAACATGCACGTGAGACAAAAATAGAGGAATTATTCAAGTAGGATGTTAGAAAATTTATATTCATGTATGGGTGAGATTTTTTACTCTAAGTCTCCATGAGTAATGGTAAAGTATGAGTAAAATAAAATTACTTCATAGAGTAATAAAATCGTCCTTAAAAGATTTATTTGCAATTTAAAATAAAATAAAAGAGTCCAAACCCATATGAATAGGAATAGAGCGTGAACTTAGAATATTAGCGTTCACTTAACACTTTTAAGAAAAATCAAAAATTTTGCTTAAGACCAACGCGATTTGAGAAATAATTGGAGAAAAATCTTACATCTGATAGAACATCGCGTCTTGATCAAATCACATACAGAACTTTATTGTGAATAGTGGACGTTTCTTCTCTAGATTAATTGTCAAATGAGTATCTAAAAGTGCCACACTTGCCACGTGTATTTAACCCTTATCTCGGAGAAATCATTTGACACATCTTGCTTATTTCAAGAAAAACGTTTTTTGTTTTAAACAAGATATTCTATTCCTCTGTATATAATTCCATTGAAGTAACACATTATACTGTAAAATCTATATTAAAATAAAATGCGTAAGTCAATTAGTGACACTCGATTGAACTACAGCAATGGATGAACCTTGTCAAAAAGTAAACAAAATGTTAAGAGAGAATGTAGGTAGCGAACGGAACATAGAATACACTGTTTCTATGAGAAAACCATATCCTCATCTAAAATTTCTGTAAACAAGTAAAATTTATTCGAACACATTTATTTTGTTAAGAGAAAACTGATACATTCGTAGTTTGCACTAATCGTTTTCGTGCATTTTGTTTTTGATATCTGCTTATTGAGTTCAAAAACTACACAAAAAAGAAAATAATAATTAAGATTTTTTGGCTATAAAAAAATATATATTGCGAATACTTTGTATAAAAACAAAAAAAACCTAAGAAAAGAAAATATCACTATTTACTCTTATTTTCCAAATGGATTTAATATCGATCGTTTTTTTTTTGCTAAATCACGTTTCATATTGTCCTCATACATTTTTCGTCCATCTAAATTTTTTACTTTAATAATATTTCCTGTTTGATCCTGAATGTCTTGAGCCATTGACGATTGTGAACCACAATCGAATTCATGCGATTGATAAATCAAACTTCCATCATCAAGATTACATTCAAATGTCAATGTGAGACGAATACGCTCTAGAAAAAAAATTAAAATATATTATTTAGAAGAAAAAAATGAAAAGAATAATGGTATGATCATACTAGATACCTTTCTTTTTGTCTTTATTTACTATTGCACAATCAACTAATTTATTTGAAGAATAAACTAGATTTAATGGTGGTTTCTCTCGCGACCATGTCCTGGGTTTTTCTAATATTTCCATTTTTATTTGTTCACCGGATATATCTGAATATAGAAGATAATTTCGTGACACATACTTGTTGTTTTAAACTTGTCTCTGTGACTTCTTACCTAATCTTCCATATGCATGTTTTCCATGTTTAAGAATCATTTCAACTGAATATGATTTTTGATTTAAACTTTCGTACAAGCGATTCAAATCATAAATAGGATCATTTTCTTTTTCTTTATCTCGTTCAAGTGAATTAGTTGATATCACAGATTTTCGATGTAGTTGTTTTTCTTTTTCTCTTTCTTTATCTTGTTCAAGCGAATTGGTTGATATCACAGATTTTCGGTGTAGTTGTTCGACAAATGTTGACGTGGTTGTTGCTGGTGTTGTCGTTGTTGCTGACATATGTAAGACTAATTGAGACGGAGAGGAATTATGAGACGACAGACTGGATGCAGGTGTCGATGACGAATATTCAGCTTCATCGACGACTGAAGCAATTTGTTCAATTTCAACTAGTACAAAACGTGGAAAATCGTATTGGCCGATGAGTCGAGTGGTCGTTAATGGCGGAAAATCTTCTTCTATTTTACCATCGTCATCTGCTAAATACAATGAATAGTACTTAAGATCTTCTTGTCTAGAATTAAAATTAAAGAAAATAAGAGAAATAAGCACTAGATAATCAATTTAAATCTAAAACGATAAGTAACTTACGTTAGTGGAGGTTGTCTATCTTCAATACAATATCGATAACAAATAAACCCGATGACTTGTTCAACCGTTGCTTGACTAGATACGATAATCGTTAGCGGTGGTTGAGTTGGTCGCTTTGATAAATGAACTTTAAAACGTTTCGATTGTTTACCAGGATTCGGCTTGAAATATATAAAAGTTACAGATTTACTTCTAAGATAACAGTAGATACTAGCAATAACACTTTTTTTCTTTCTTTATGGAAGATGCACTGTACCCTGGATTATATCCTCCGAATTGTAAATGCATATACACAAAATTAAAGTTGAAAAATTAGAGAAATCTTGTTCAATATCACTATCTAAATATAAGTAGTCTAAACCTATTCTCAGCAAGAATCGATACATATCGAATATTTACATTTATTTTAACTATCACAGAAACGTCTCATAAAGCTTTATCACCACTGAAAGAGGAGGATTAATTAGTTATACTGTTAATTCATTCTAGTTTTGAGTAGTTTGTACTTACTGTTCCATCAAATTTTGCATATTGATTGAAAGGATTTTGGTTTTCCAGAGAATTTTTTAATAAAAGTGTTAACGGTGATGGATTCTCTAGCTTTGTAGGAGGCTGTAAACGGCGACAAAATATATCATTTGAATTGTCTATATCAGATTTAACTTGTTCATTATGATCAGACTGATTATCTAAAAACGAAAAAAGAGAAAATGTAGATTATTGAGAGAAATCATTGTGGATTAAAAAACAAGATATCACGTACGTTTTGGTTCTTGCCAAGAGATAACTTTCACTTTTCGTTTCATTTCATTCTCATGTTTTATTTCATCTAAACGTCCCAATGTTTCACATCTACTGCGTCGAGCTAAACGATGCAAACAGAATGTTGAATCTTGTAAAGATCTTTTACTATATGTGTAAAATTGTTTGTTTTCACTATGTTTTATGATTTCTTTTCGAAAATAAACATTGTCACGTTATTCAGAATGATTATTAATCTATGTTTCGATCAATTTTCGAGATTTACTTAGAAAAAACTGATCCGACAAAGATTAATAGAAGAAAAAACAAAGTTTGCTTAGATATTTGTGCACAGTCTGCTGGTTCTTATAGAAGTGTAAAATTCACTGTGGTTTTAAAAGATACCATCTCTACCTTAGAAAGACACGTCAGATACACCAACTTTAAACTCTATTTTTTCACATGTTTATGTGATTAGCTCTTGATCACTTAATGATAAATAGTGTAGTTGTACGTTTTTCTTTTATCAAAAGTTATGCAGATATCTATGGATACTATGTTTTGAATTAGATAGTGTAAATAAGCGTCTATTTCATACTCGATTCATGTACACTATTAACTGTCCATTCAGGAGAGTGTGATAATTCATCGTCGATATAGGCCGGATCTGAACGTAATAAAGTTAATAAGTCCATGTTGTTTATTTCAACATTTTTGCTAGAAAAACAAAACAGAAAAAAGTGTACAGATAAGAGATGGAACGGCATAGTCATTCAAACATACTACTTAGCTATCTCTCGTCGTCTTCTTTCATTCTCAATGTCTTGACTAATTATTTTATCACATATTTCAGTATCATCACAAATTATAAAACCATTTCGAATACGACGTAAAATTAATTGTATGTCACCACCTCCTAAACTCATTCTAAAATGTTTAGAGCAAAATAGTTAACTGATGTGACCATTAAATTTGTAAGAATAATTTTTAAGTTCTTCACTACAAAATCGACGTATCTAAAACGTTTGAAAACACATTTAGATCACCACAAAAGTTACTTCATATCTGCACAAATGCATATACAGCATTCATTGGTTAACATGACAGGCAGATAAAGAGAAAATAATAAAACTAATTTTATCATTTAACAAAAAAACGATACAAAATAAAATAATCGATTCAATGTTATTTTTTTCTCGAAATATTGAGTCTTTCCATTAGTTTATTTCTCCTCATCAACTGTGTTTGCAACACGCTCTGAGCCATTATGAACAGATGATGATCGCTTTTGTTCGATGTACGATAATCTTGATCATTTTTTCATTTTTTACTCTTCGTGAATGCTTCACCTTCACCAGTCAATTTATTAATTTGTATTTTTGCTTGATGATCGGCTCCTTGTACTTCTTCATTATGAATTTTATACAATGGCGGCTGTTTGTCAATTAAAAATTGATATAATTCAACATCATATTGAGTAACGAATGTCAAAGCTGTTTCAGATCGACCAACTCGAACTGTTCATGAAACAGGATGAATGTAGTCATTTGAATGCTGAGAAATATCATAATTTATAACAATATCAAGATGAGGAATATCAAGACCTCTACAAAGAGCGAAACAAACATCGATTCACAGTCATTTAAGAGAAAAGAGATTCGCTTACCTACTGGCCACATCAGTTACAATTAAAATTGAACAAGTTTTTCCTTTAAACTTATTCAATGCACTTAGACGTTTTGTCAAAAAACAGAGTGATTAATAAATCACATTTGATTTCTACTGAGGTTATTCAAAAATGATGAATAAATTTAAGGACAAAACATTTGCTGGATCAAATCATACATTATTAAAAGTTCTACAATAAAATAACAAACATAAACGATCAATTGTTTGTTTCAATTGACAAAATAAGTGTTAAACATACACGTACTAAAAAGCACTGCTGTGGTCAGAAAAAAATAACTGTTTTCATTTGTCTTTAGGTAACATTAATTTGTCAAAATAATTATACAAAAATAGAAATGAAATTTGTTGGTAGAGCAGTTGGAAATAAGTATTTGTAAATCGAATATAGAACTGCATAGCAGTTCTATATTCGATTTACAAATAAAAATAGAAATGTTTACACTCAGTTAGTTTTTTAAACAAGTAAAAAGCTAATGAGTAACAATCTCATACTGATCATAAAAATGAAGTTTGATATTTTTTTGTTGTTGCCAATATTCACTTTGAAATGATATTTTGATATTTTTAACGTCCAATTAATTTTTAAGAAAAAAGAAAGGAATCCGATCTTTCATGAAAATAGTTTCGATGAGTCTAATTCTCGTGAATTACACTATTCTAACTATAAACCATCTTTCACCTGATGTAGAACTAATTACGGATAACAATTTCAAATTTAATAACAAATTTAATGGTAAACTTAGTCTTAACATTGGTAAAGTTTGCATTTGAACATAATCAATTAATTTGAAATGAATATCTACTTGTTTCGTTGCATTGGAACTAACGCTTTTAATGATATTAACGAAAATGAGTTGGTGTAGAAGACGGCATTTTTAATGCCAATTAAACGTATAGTAGCATCGAGCATCAAGATATTTTTGATACAAGATGTTTTAATTCGTAATAATTTATTTCAGATAGCATCAATAAATCTATTCGGTATGAATGAGTTCTTATACATTCGCATATTTTAGTTCAAATAAAATTTTTCAATATTAATCGTGTTATCTGGATCCGCAAAACATAACAAATCCTGATCACCATATAGTTCATAAACTTGATCAAATTTGATTAATTCCATCGATGGTCTGTCTATTTAGTACACGAATGAACAATTTTAATATTAGATATAACTAGTTTTATTAAATAAATAACTATTTGGTCATTCTCAACCAACTAACCGTAAACAGGTTAATTTCAACCAATCAACGGGTTGATCTAAATAGAAAAACTAATTTAAAAATAGTACAGCAGACAAAAAAAAGGAATCAAGACATAAAGAGAGATTAGAGATATGAGCAAGATAACTTTGTTCAAAGATAACACATCTTTGAAAAAGACGTGCAAAGAGAAAAAAAAATAACCTAGCAGTTTTGTTCACCTTTTAGATGGGACGTTAAATACGATTAAAATATGTTTCTTTCATTGTAATCGTTTTTACTCAATATTCAATCAACAGGTTACAATGCATAAATGTACTCATGAATGTTTTTATTAATCATAACTAATAATGTCCACAAATAATGATGAGAATAACACTTATGCTGGTAATAACTTTTGCCATTTTTAACCATTTATCAGTGTACGGTTGACAAATGTACAACAAAACCGAAAATACTGAATATCTTTAAAAAATTTAAGTATATCAGAACATATACGATTATGTTGTAATCATCCTTTACTCAAACGTTCAATCGACGTGTATATTTGAATAATTTCATGAAATAATTAAAATCTATTAAACTTATTTTTAAATGTTTAGTGTTTTGATTTTGTTTTCCTTACATTGTTATTGATTCCTACATATCCAATATCTAAGGTGATATGTTTTAAATGATAAAGTCTTTATACTAATCAATCATAAATAGACAACTCTTCAGTTTTTCAACGTTTGCAATTTTAACATGTATGAATTTGTTAATATGACGTTGATCAATAAACATATTGTTTAATATCAAAAATGGCAGTTGTTCAAACTGACCCATATTAAAAGAATATTGAATAATTCGATTACATCCGATGTTTGACTGGTATAACTCCGAGATTAACTTTCATTCCAAACACTTGTGATAGACGTGTTAAGACGGGTATTTAAATTGTAAAATGAATAAAATAAGCAATGCACTTTTAAACTTCTAAATATTAACAATAGTAGCTCATCCAGTAACGCTGGTTCCCATTGTTAATCGTGTCCTTTGTACATTATCTAATTCTAACTGAAAATCTGAAAATAAAAACAAGATTTTTGCTTAATAGAGACAAAACAATGTATTTAAGTATTTAGCAGCTGATGAAACTTAATTCTTATCAAGTATTTTAATACAGCGACTAGGTCTACGTTAAAAGTAGAAAATGCTTGTAGAACAAAAGCTTTATGACTTAATTCGGGCTACAGTTAACAGAATCGATTTTATAAATTACATTCGGCTTTACTTTCAATTTGGCACGCAATAACGGTTTTTGTTTTTAAAAATTCTATTATCAAGTCTGGATTTTTTCCTTACGCTATGATCGCAGATGTGTCGAACACATATTCTACACCTGGGCAAAAAATAAGAGAGATTTTGACTATATTTTCATCGTTCAATGTTCTGAAAAATAACCTTGAGCAATGCAAAGCAACACAAAACAAAAACAATACTAATTGATGTATTTTCAAGATTTTAACAATAAATGAAAAGACAACATTTTTTTATATTCTATTGCTTCACGCGTTGATGAATCTGTTTTATTATTTGTTCTAATTGTGTTACTGGAACAAACATAATTCGTTTCATCGGCATCCATTCGTCTTTACTTTTACCCTTTTTCTTCTTTGATTGTTTCTGTTGTTGCTGTTGTTCAAATGAATAATCCACATGTGTATCGGCATACTTTTCAAATATTTCTTCCTCATCATTTAAATACACCGTAGTTTCATTTAGATTATGGTTTACTTTCAATTTTGAATGTAATATCCAGTAATCAAACGAATATTGATTTATAAGATGTTTTTGTTGTTTAGAGAGTTTATCATTTGTTGTTACTGTCGAATTTTTTTCAACTATTAATTTAATTTCATCTAAGCAGAAAAATAATGGAGATAAAAAATAGATTTAATTAAAAAAGAAAACAAATAAGATCAAAATTTAACATAATTTATACAGATCTAAAAGCTCACTATTTCAGCTCTGTATAGTAAAATTTAGTGAGTTAGACTTCTTTATTCTGTAGATGTCATTCTGCTTACCTAATAATGTTCTTATCGATGGTTCAGCAACGTCTGATGGAATATTTACATATCGTTCATTTATAAATAGACCACAATGTTTTTCATTCAAAATTTTCAATGCTTGAGAATTATCTGCACATTTTTCTTTCAAATATGTCATAAATTTTGATACTAATGGTTTTTCTTGATTTTCAACTAGACTCAATATTGAACATACACCCAACACAGGTCCATCATCATCTTCATTATCACTCTCTTGATTATCATCGATTGTTGGCTCTTGTGGATCAATTGCTTGAAATAAAACACTACCCACAGATTGTTGACTAATAAGTTGTTTTGATAATTCTGAAATGAAAAAGTAAATCATTTAATCAAGTTGATCAGCAGTAATAGAATGAAAGATAGACATGAGAAAGTCTTTTTTCATCCAATAATAATGCAGACTTTACAAAAAATTACCTGAAAGATTGAGAGTTGCCGGAAAATTTTGTTCAAGAAAATGCTGAATTATTTGATGATCACTGTCGACAGGCGTACGTGCTTCTAAATCAACTTGAATTATTTCGTTTGTATCTAACATTTCTTGATCTTGATCGCTATTATGCTCGTCGTCTGATTCTTCTTCATCAGAATTCTCTTCCATCTCTTCGTCTTCTTCATCTTGGTCTTGTTGTTCAACATTTAAATTTTTCAAATCATCCGTCACAGTTGCTGCCTTTGATTTTTTTGATGAGCGAGCCATCGTATTTAGATGTTTTTTTTCTAGTTTCTAGAAGAGAAAAAAAACGGTACATAAAAATATATCTCATCCAAATGAATATCAAAGGATTTGGCTAAAGTTCTGCTTTAGTAAACTACTTCTTTTAAGATCAATCAACTTTTCTTGGATTTATCGAATCAATTTTGAGAATAAAATAAACTTTTAGGCAGCAAAGAGTCACTCACTTTTCGTGAATAAACAATCTTAGTCTTAGTCTTAGTCTCAGTCTAAACAATTATAAAAAAAATAGATGCGAAAAACGCCATGTTGAACATGATCTAGCATTGTGGATTTTTTTATGAGGTATCGCTATACTTGAGAAATTCTCTCACAAAAAACCATAGTTGAAAAATCTGAAATTTCGACTAAATCGCTGAACGCAAATAACAAAATTAAGAGCTTAGCACTTTATGTTGCAAAGACCGACAAGCGACTTCCACCAGTTTCTGAAGACATTTTAGATTAATAAATTCATGTTCTTCTCGAAAATTCATCTTAGTCATTTTTCTGCTAATAAAATAACTTTAACTTTAAACTAAATGTTTTTTGAGACACCATAGTCAACGCGTTTTTCTGTTCTGCTGGAGTTGATTATGGCGTCCCAGCTGGAAATTCTGTTTTTGACTGAAAATTCGCATTCAAAACTTCTAAAAATTGGAGATCTGTTACGATAAAACTGTGGCAGTAGATTACTTCTGTAATATCGGCACATTTTTATCATGACTTGTAGAGATAGTGTACACGCGTACATGTACATGTTACATGACCCGTTTTCAAGTGGGACTATTGGTCAAAAACAAACAAATAACACTCGGCACGTTCGGCCTTTCTTGGAGTATTTTGTATATCTTCGCTGTGAGAAATATATATGCATGTATTGTATTGTAGCAACTCCTGTCTGCTAATATATGTCAAGAAAAATAATAATAGCGTTAGTTTTGAAATTAGTGAATTTTGTTTTAGATTTTAATGTTCTACAACACCAATAAATCTTTTTCGTAGAAAAAACTGTAAACGCAACGTAAATAAAACAAGAAAAATGCACTGGGGACTTGTAATCGAATAACCGTGGAGCAATGACTATAAAACATCTCATTTTAGTTGATGACTATGATTTTTAGAGTTTTTTCGCATCGGACCTTGTATTCAAAATTTTGATATCGCAGTATTTCATAGGATGAGGAGGCTTGAGGGCACTTTGGAATGTAGAGGCTAGTGCTCGTTGACTGAAGTCATAATTTCAAATTATGCTTCGAAGAGAGCAAACGCTACTCAGTTAACGCCGGTTATAAAAATAATTATCTTTGCAATCGTTCACACTTTATTGATGAAACTTTCAGAAAATATTTAGGTGGTACTCATTATTCATTACCCAAGATTTCAACTCGATCCGTCTGGCGCTAAAAAAGTCAACTTTTCAATCTCTCTCATAAAGTTAACAATTGTTCGATGTTAACAATTCTCGAATTACTGCCTGTGTATTAACAACTAATCTGAACTATAAAGCGCTAAACATTGTGTTGTATCCAACTCCTCTACGAAAAATTTGTTTACCGTCATGAGCGAGTGAGCGGTAGTGCAGAATGATGCTCAAATCACGCAGTTATAGTTCTTTCTGTCTTCCGTCTGGTCACATTCTCAATTCTGTCGGTTTAAATACACAACTGTTGAAGGGCTATCCAATTCAAATGGTGTATTCAAATAAAGTTTAAAAATGTTCGATATAAATAAAGTCGAACATTTCCCTAGATAAGGCAAAACGATCGACTTTATGATAATTTAAAAAATAGGCTATGGCTTTATAGAGATCAAAAAGAAAGCACGGTAATTGACCATAAAGTTTAATTCACGACGAGAATGCGACGATTGTCTGTATACCATAGATGATCGTAGATTTCATTTACATGCCGTTTTTGCCGGTAGTATTATCGACCGGAGTATATATCACTCGCATGGGACTACAAATCACAACTTATTAGAAACAATGGATTTGAATGGTGTAAATTATTATTTTGGGTTAAATGATGTTGCAATCGGGGAAGAAGGATTCACTACTACGCTTGATTCCCATCTAAATGTTCTTAATATTAAATACGGTTTTGCGGAATGAAGACGCAAAAAGTGTCTTTAGTTATAACCAAAGTGGTGTTATTTGCTGACGACATGCTGTCATGTTGCTGGCGTATGCATAACGTAACTAAAGATTATCTGCAGATTTAAATATATGATGAATTATGAATGGAACTTGTGAGAGGAAGGTTTGGATCATTTATAAATGATTTGTTATTGATCACTCTTTGTTCTGCCTAATTATTCTGATTATATTACATAAATTCTCATATTTAAAGTAGCTGTTCTATACTTTGTCTGTAATTGAATATATTTTGTAAAATGATATCTTCACATCCTAAATTCAAATATTTAATTTACATCATATTTGAGGAGAAAAAAAATACTTCATATTCCTTTTCTAAAACGGATGCACGTATATTTCGGAAATAACGTATAACATCATGGATACCAAAACTCGAATATCTTTTTATACAAGTGAATCCTTGATTCGAACCCTAACATCTGTTCTCATCGTTACTGGTTCTCTGACATTTATGTCGGCACTCTTGGCCATCGCCACAAAATCTTGGATTATAATGAATATTCCTGACGAAGCACGTACGTTTACTCCTTTCAAATACCAAACTTGTTTTGAATGTCAAGGAAAAGTGGCCATACTACCAGCGAGTCTTTTCATCATCAGTCTCATCTTAGTTGTTGTATCAATTATTCTTATCGTTTTACTTCTCTGCAAATCTATGCGACCGATATTCAGCCTGATACCAATATTTACTCTATTATTTGCATCTCTATTTCTAATCTGTGGATGTGTGACATTTTGGCAATTATTCGTCGATAATTTCAGAGCGCTGACGCTACTACCTGACGCCAGAATAGATTACAGTTTCGCAGAAACACCACCCTATAGTTATAATTTGATGATTGTTGCCCATATATTCACCTATGTAGCATCAGCTTTGGTTGCATTTATCGCTGGTGGAAGAATATTATGCATTAAACATCTGCAAGTTGATACTGAAAAACAATAACAACAGCAAGTAGACATTACGATGATACACATGATACCAAGTTTAAGCAGAAACATTCGTATCAACTTGGCTTTATCGCCATAGTAACATAACATCCTTGATCAATCGCTCTAGTGGCATGTTATCTATCATTTTTTAAACAACTTCCAAGAGAGTTTACAACGAAAATAGCTGCAAAAAAACAAGATGAATTTCGAGTTTTTAATTACTCAATTTATATTAGTTACGCCATCTGATCATGTGCTAAAAGTTTCAAGTGATTTATTTGGATTTTGAGTGATATATGAACTTTATAGTTTTGGATGCTGATAGCTAAACTGGAGGTATTTTTCTGTAAAACTCACGTTCATTAGGTTTCTCACTTTTTTCAGAAAATTGATATTGTCACAAGATTGAGAATGGTCGATAGTTTTTGTTTTTATAAGATTCTAAACCCTCAGATCATATGATCTGAGTAACATTAGATGGTAACAGAACAATCTTTTCCATGTTCCAACGAAAAAGTCAGAAATCTCGGACTTGCGTAGATTTGTGGAGCAATAATATCTAATAGAATTTTTGAAGATTGTAGTCTTTAAAATATTTCCAGATGTAGCGCACTATAGAAGTACTATAGAAAATCTAGAATTTCAAAGTGACTGTTTTATTGAAGAAGTAAGTTTTCACTACGAAATGTTGAAAATCTGAAATCTCTATTGTCTATCGTTTTGAAATCATTCGAAAAATGATAGAGAACATTCTCTGTCAAATGGGTAAGGTGTCTGAGCAAGACTTTTTCCCGTTTGTTTAGTATAGAAAAATTGCGCTTGAAAAGCTCTACAATGTATGTTAATAGAAAACTTAACGAAGTCTGGCAGCGGTCTTTGTGAATTTAATACTAGATTTTTCCATATGTCCCAGCCATGACACTGCACCAGACCGATATCGGCTTTCCTTGGAGTCCTAGGACTCGTACCCTGTGACTTAGAATAGCCTTGAAATGGGATGAAACAAAAGCCTGTGAAAACCGAGTTTTATGAAAATTAGGATTTTCAGGCTGTTTTCACTTAATACTAAAAAATTCACTATACACTCAAAAAACTACAGGCTGTACAGTATTCAGCGCATTGTATATAGCAAGGAAATGGCAAAAATTGTAGTTCTCCCTTTTCAGTGCTTATTTTGTCTAAAATTCATGCAGGAACATGAAAAAACTTATAATAACGAACGTTTGGCTGCGATCGAATGGACGTAAAGTACTTTTGTAAGTTAAAACACAGAACATTGTTTACATGTTTTACTTGAGTTGGATCAAAAATACAACTGATGACTAAACTTTTAACAATAAAATAAATGACAGTCATAGGAAAATCATCTGAAATTTGTAGATAATAATATCATATACAATGCGCTAAATACTGTACAGCCTGAAGTTTCCAACTCTATCTGACGTTTTTTGAATGTATAGTGAATTTTTTAGTATTAAGTGAAAACAGCCTGAAAATCCTGATTTTCATAAAACTCGGTTTTCACAGGCTTTTGCATGAGTTTTCAAAACTAAATATTGCGAAGAGATTCCAGCGTTGTTGATTACCAATGTTCCATCCGATTTGGAATGGTTACCGAGGATGAGTCATACACAACTTTGTACAGTTTGTCATTGTCTATTTTTCTGTATCGAGCTTTATTCATTGCCTATCTTTACTTTAGATTTTGGAAAAGATCACCGGGAGCAGATTCGGGTTAAAATTGGCCGTCGTCCTTTCAGAAATAACAGATTTCGTATAACAATAACAGATGAAGATAAAAATTTTAAAATCTACCACATTTAGAAAATGTCATAGCTTAACTGAGTAATCAGTAATAAATCAACAGCGTGTATATATGATTAGTAGATTTTCAGCTCAGGGGAATGCCAAGTATACACAAGCGGAATTTAGTTGAGAGCTAAGTCTCTTAAGAGATGTAGATATTCTTGCATTCATATAGATTAACAATATCAAATTTAAACTGGATGCTTTGTTTCACATATGCAAAATATCTAGTAAATATCAGTTTTCAAAATTGAACTAATTAAGTTGATTTTTTTTTATTTATTTCATTTGAGAGGAGAACCTATTCGTTACTAAAACGTCTCTCTGCCTCATACTAATCTATATAGTACTTTTTTTTTTGAAGTTTGAAATTCGCGTGAAAATTAATTACATATTCGTCATCTATAAATGTCATTTAACCCTTTTTCAGACATTAAACCATCACATCTTGAACATAAAAAGTTGCATTATTCTACTCAAAATTAGATATCGTATTGGAAAATAAACATATTTTCATTTCAATGACTACTTTTTGTATCCGACAGTATCAGTGCGCTGTTTTATCTGAGAAGAATATTTAAACATGATCCAATAGCTTGTTAAGTGGACTAATGCGTACGTAAATCTCGTCCATTAACGTCCAAAGGATGAAAAAAATGCGATTGAAATAAATATGCTTACAGTATGCTATGTTGTTAAAAATGCTTGTAGAAATCAACGTAGAAGCTATAAATGAGCCCTTGATAACTTATTACTAGTTTATTGAATAAAACACTAGCCAATCACTACAATCGTCTAGTGTTCTCTAAAAATTGATTAACTTCTGAGTTTTAAGGACTAAGAAATAGTACGTTTCGTCTATTTTTTGCTCGTTCGACTGAAATATAATTCATTCAAAACAAAGAACGCACAAAAGTCAAAATACGCGGGTTTTAAAGAACAAATTGACAATTTTGTATGAAAAGTGCATACCTTATTAAGTAAATTATGCTAAGATCTAAAAACTTTGACTTATAGCTAACTGTAGACGGAAAATCGAATAAGCATAGTTACATTGTTTGCGTACATTATAAGCGATAATTTCATTTTTGTCCATAACATTTATGTATATACTCAAAACAGAATAAAATCCTTCTATTACATGATTGTCTGACAGCTGAAAAGAAATAAACAAGTGAGAGAGAAAGAGAGAGATAAGCATGCACATAGAATGGAATGTATTCAACCGGATAATTTCAAAAACAAAAACAATAACAAATGGTCATTCTCTGCTTGAACTTCTCGAACGAGAACGCGATGTATTTAGCGAAGGTATTCTATCGCTGAATGAACGATTGTGATGTTTTGCAGAATAATATACAGTCGATCGATCATGACGCTGATGGTGGTGATGATCGTTTCGCGTAGATCTTATCTGATGTTGTGATAATGAATTACCATTTGTCGCGAAATGTTCTCGAATATGATTAGTATGTTGTTGTTGATTATGTAATGGTGGAACTGGTTGAGACGGAGGAGGTGAGGGCGACTGATGGGGAGATGCTGGTGATGAATCGTCTTGATGATCACAAATATCTAATTCGGACGATTCCCATTTTTCTTTTTCCGATGGGCTATCATCGCCGCCATTTGTGCTGTTACCATCTTCACATTTCAATCGTTTGTGTTTTGTTCGACGATTTTGAAACCAAACTTTCACCTAAACAAAAAGACCATCCATGTTCAACTTTTCTTATGAGTTTTGGTGGGATCTCGCTAATCGGAAGAAGAAAACACGGGATCTTACGTGGTCATTCACATTTTGTTTTTCATTGTACTGGTATATATAAAAATTTACAAAATAACAATGTCAAAAAGTTTAAAAATTAAACTCTTTTCCATCGAGTTGAAGATGAAAATCGACTCGACAGATGTACATATGCTCTATAGGAGCAAAGCTGTTTATACTGGCAGTCGAGATCAGAGTTGTATCTCAAGAGGACTCTGTGAAGTTCTGCACAAATGTACAAGTATTTTAGTAATGACTTTCCAAAGGAAATGAAACCCAGAAAGAATTTATTATAGAGAAATAATGCATAAATGAAGATTAAAACCTTGAAGACATTTTCTGTCTGCAAGTCTTATTTAAAATACAAATGTATAAAAATCAAAAATTTTGAGGTAATACATCCCGAAAATTTAACAAAACTCTGAATGATATAGAATGAGACCCCATATAGAATTCTGAAGGGGGAAAAGTGAGATCTCGTCAGATAATTTGCGGGATGAAGAATATAGACAGAGTGATCGAGTTTCGTGTAGAGAGATGCAGGACGCTCTTACCCTACCCTACCCTACAGGATAGGGAAGTGCGAGGGCTCCGAAGTCAGGTAGGACTTTGTTTGACAAATCTGGATGAATTATCGTGGCTACAACCGTGAAGTCAGTCACGAATTATGCTTCTAAGAAATTTTAAAAAATGCTGATTTCATCTATGATTTATATAAAAAAAGAAAGAAACAATCGTCATGAAAAAATCTGTAAATTTTCAAAGGGTAGGACTAGGGCTCTAAGATCAACTGAAACCACAGGATAGGATAAGGATAGGGCTCAAACAACTTTCAGAGGGTAAGTTCAGGGATCCAGCAACAACTACTCTACACATCTCTGGTTTCGTGTTACTATCCCAGCTCAATAATGGAGATATTTTGGTTCAACACGAAATAAATTTCAGTTCATTGTGGACTATACAGAGGGAAAAATGGTTCTGCGATAAGGAAGCAACGGTCAATGTAGCGCTAAATTTCGAACAAACCTCTTTCAATACATGTTTTCGAACCTCTGGTATTTTTTCAAGAAAACAGCATTGTTAAATCTTAAATTTCTGACAGAAATTTCTTTGTGTCCTTTGTTATATACGAACTCTAGAGAATTAAGAAGAAAGAAGAATGGATTGAATTTTGAATTTGGAACTAATGATGATAGTAGGCCACCACTTAAGTCCGTGAGTCTCACAGTAAGGTTTCATACGATCGTAGAGGATTTTATAACTTCTTATAACCTAATCTTGTAAGCTTATGACAAGACCCTCTTATAACATGGTCATGTAGTTTGAATTTCACTTGAGTAAATGTTCCTATATATATATATGTTCCTTATATATATATATCATTCAAAGTTAATGTCACCTTGTTATACTAAATTCTGTATCTGCCAGCTGATTTTGTTTTCATTGTTATTTTTACCAAAATTAAAACTTTTAATTCACACTACTGCTATTATAAAGAAAAAAGAAAGTCTTCCGGAAACTGTCATCACTTTTTCGGCAAACATACACATTTCTTTCGAACAAACATTTATTATCTAGAGAAAAAAAATTAATCAATTATCAACTAAAACATTTCCTGTCGCTTTTTTTATTTTTAACTAAAGGACTATTTATCTGTGACAAACAATTTACTTACAGTAACTCAATCAAATGTCTCGAAGAAAATTATTAGTAAAATTAACATAGTCTATTAGGTCCTGAAGAACTATACCATAAAAGTATAAAGGTGCTTGTTACAGTAGGTATTTATAGTTTTTTTTTACATTCTGTATAGAAAGAAAGTTGAAAGAATGAATGAAGCACGCTAACATGAATAATGTTTTTTATTCAGTGGTCCATTGAACCGTACTGTAATAAGATTCTTCGAATTACCATATGATCAAATATTAAGCATAATTTAGGAACATGTTGACTCACCTGTGTTTCAGTTAAATTTAAATTTCTCGCTAATTCTTTTCGTTCTTGTCCGACTACATAATGATTTTTTTCAAATGCATGTTCTAATTTTAACAGTTGTGCAGGTGTAAATGCTGTTCGAATACGTTTTGGTTTTCGAAATGAATGTAAAATCAATGCCGCAGCTGCTTCAGGACCTGAAAGATATTTTTTTTAAGAAAATTAAATTTATTCGTAATAATTGATGATTGCATACTTGCAAATCTTCCGTCGAATAGTCGTCCACCATTCCGGATGTAATTTAATGCTGATTCACGTTGAAGTTGATATTGAATAACAGGATCAAACTGTGATCCGTGTCCACCGAATGCCCAATTCGAGCCAGAGACAGCTGCCATTGCTACTGCCGCTGCTGAATGCAGATTTGACATATAATGATTGTTTGACGTCGATGAGGATGATATTGACTGCGGTGATTGTACAATGGTGCTATTGTGGGAAACGATCGATGTCACAGGGGGCCAATGAGCCATTTTATTCATATCCGATTTTAAAGGTTGGATTCGAGAAGAAGTTGTCTCTGTGGTTAAAGTGTCGGGACATGTTCGGTCGTCGGCATGACTAATAATATCATCGATAGAGAAACCAGATTTTCGAATATTTGGACGATGGACAGGCATGTTTTATATAAAAAATTCTACAATCACCAATAAAAATAAAAAATAAAATAATAACATCAAAAAATGCAAATTTCAATCACATCAATACAGAAGGATAAATTGTGTTCGAAAATAGAAAATTGAAAATCAATGAAAACTAGTATCGATATTAATATAGTGTCTTAGTTTGAAGATTTCTATGATGGCTCAGCGCTTAACATTTCGATTATCGATCAGAATAACGTAACTTTCATTAAATTCAAAATATTCATGAACATTGAGGGGTAGTGCGAGGGAACCTTCTCAGATATCAAACTACATTTTCAATGATCTTATGCCAGTTGATAGCGGAAAGTGTCCTAGTTAAAACCCTAAAAGGATTTGTTCCCACAGCACTTCTTTCAAGAGTTATGAAGTTTTTTTAGTTCGATGGAAAAATAGGTATAAAAACACTGAAGTATCTCGATAAAAACAGCGATTTTTGAGTTGAAATTTTTTTCTATGATTATTCTAATACTTGATTAATATTATAGAAAGAATCAGCCTTTCAGTCTCTCTAAAAAATAATACATTAAAGTTTCCTTGTTTTTAAGGAAAACCATGTTTTCCTAATAATTCAATTTTTTTCTTCAATTCATTTTTCTTTTGTTATGATTAATCAATCATACGTGGTTCTGTTTAATTAATTAATGTAATTGATTCTCTATGTGAATAACAGTTATTTTATCATTGGAACGATTTGGTCAGTCTTTTTTGTACCGATTTTCCCACCGAAACAAAAAACTTCATAAATCTTGAAAGAAGTACTGTGCGAACAAATTCTTTTAGGGTTTTAACTAGGAGACTTTCCTCTATCAACTGGCATAAGATCATTGAAAATGTAGTTTGACATCTGGAAAGGTTCTCTCGTCAGATATAGCTATTTAGAAATAGTTGTTGAAATTAAGAAGAAAATGTAAAAGAAATTTTATATCTCCTCAAATAAATTCACGTGATACAGTCAGTCTCAAAGATAGGATATCATCTATGTCAGAATATGATCAGCTTAGAATGTGACAATTATCTAACACAATCACAGAATTCTGTAATATTAGGCTATAAACAATAGCCAATGTGAGAAAAAGGTAGACTAATTACAATAGTTTATAATGTTTAAATTCGTTAGTATTGCTAGAAAATGCAAATATGTATTTGTTTAACAATAATAGAATAGTGATGATAATTGAATTTACTTACTTCTAATATTTCAAAAATATGTAGAGTATATTTATTTATCTCTAGACAGACAGAAGATTGGAAAAGAGATGGTTTAAATAACATATAATGAATTGATAGAATTAATTCAGAATTATCGGTAAAAAAAGAAAAGGAGAAAGAGCAAGAGAAAATGACACCTGAGGCAACAAGAAAGAGAAATAAATTTTAACAAATAACAAAATAATTTTTATTTCTATTGGACTTTATCCTCTAGCTGTTCAGATACAGGTAGAGAAAGAGAGAGAGAGAGAGAACATCCTCATCATTATTTTTATTATTACTATACGATTAGTACGATGTATATGGCGACCGATTTAAAAGGCAATTATAGGTGAGAGAGTCTGTTCCTCTACTTCTCTATACCTTTAATATTCATACTATGACCGGTATATCAATGTCTATTAAACGATAACATAGACTAAAAGAAATATGAGTTTCAACGCATTTCAAATAGTTATTGGTGGGGATGTTTAATTTTATTTTTATGGTAATAGTTCTAGCCAATGTATATAGCGCACATTTTATGTTCTTTCTTTTCCTTTTTTTCTTCTATCTATACCTATTAGCAGAGCTATTTTGCACAAAATGCGAGCAATAGAAAGAAAAAAACGACAGTAGTTGATATTTGATATACATAATAATAAATACAGACATTGGACCACAATAAGAGAGAGAAAATGACACACTGTACTCATGATTCGAACCAATAATAGTACTAAGTTAGTTAAAAATAATTGTAAATATCTTGTAGGTATATGTACGAGAAAGATGAATAGTAGGCAGTTTCTAAACGAAATAAAATAATAGTAACACGCTTATTTACGCATGAGCAACGATATCAGAAGATATCATAGGGGTTAAAAAGTGGTAATATAACCAAAAGGTATAGATGACAGAAACTAACAACTTAGAATGATATTCAAACAATATGCTGAATTTATTTAAACATACCATGTATGTTTCTTTCTGGTAGTTTATTCAAAATCAATGTTTGAAAAACATTATAACTCGAATATTTTTTGGTAATTGTCTGCAACTCACATCTTTGATATCAGTCAATTGGGATGGAAATATCCACAAATAAAATAAGGTATTTTATTTTTTTTTTTTTTTTTTTTTTTTTGACTTTCCGCTTTTTTTTAAGCCCATAGGGTGTTACCAAAAAAGTTTAGAATTTTTAACAGAAATACCATATAAAAAATTAAAATAAAACAAAAATTTACTTGTT